AAAATAAATTAAATACTTATTTATATAAAAAAAAATCGGCGGCGGCTCCGGGAGTGACAAGTGGCGGCCTCTGGTTCGTCCCAACAACCGCGGCCAATCATTGCCTGGCGGCGCGATGATTGCGCGCGCCGGCAATGATTGCCGCAATGATTGCGGCAATCAACCGGCGGACCGCCGGTTCACTTAGCCACGTCGGCTCGCACCGACCGCCGTTGGATCACCCGCCCTAAGAGGCGGACGGCTCAGATCGAGCCGTGCCACAGAACGATCCGCGGGATCGTTCGAACGGTCGGACGGATCCGCCGTTCGACCGAACCAGACCCGTTGATCATAAGATCAACGGCTCAGAGCGCCCTGAGTACACAGCCAGGCGGACCGAACCCTTAGGGGTGTTTTTGGCCTCGTTCTCTCGATCGGATGAACGAAATCAAATGAAATTTTAACTGTAGAACTATAGGTATTGAAAGCATTCATGGTACCCTTATCGCGGTCTGAGAAGCACTTTTCAGAAAGCTATTTAACTTGAAGTGTTCTAAACTAGGGTTTGAGATATACCTCAATCCACACGGTGGATTCGGGAGATCTTGGTCTTGTTGGACTCGTGGGATCCTCTAGAACAGATCTCCTCTTGAACTCCAACTCCGAAACGGCCTCGATCGGACGGAAGAAGCTCTGGACGTCCCTTGGCCTCGGTTCGCCGGAGTTGACGTCGCCGGCGTGGGTTCACCGTCGGGAATCGGTCGAGGGAGGTGAGGGGAAGTCCAAGGAACTCTCACACGAAAGTTCTCGGACTGCAGAGGGCTAGGGCTTGAGGGATTTGGAAAAAGCTCCCTCCTCTCTCTCTAAAACTCCTATTTAAGCTCCTTAACCCTATGATTAACGGTTGGCATTCAATCTCCCGCTGATTGGGAGGGAAAACCCTTCATAATAGCCGTGGTTTGCTATTTGAAATTCAAGGAAATAAATAGGGCATTAAATGGGCCATTTATTGGGCCTTAATGGTCATAATCGACCTTTACTGACTTGGGTTGACCAAGTCAATGGTTGACTTTGGTCAACCTAGCCAATTAGGTCCAATAGGTGTGGGGTTTGAGCCATGAAAGGGTTTGAATGATTTAAAATTTGATTTGAGGCCTAAAGGGGTTAAATGGTCAACCCTAGTTGACTTGGTCAACCGGGTTGACCTAGGGTCCAAGTTAGGGTCCAACAGACCGACTCGACTCACTGAACCCGTGGGAGGGGGTCTTGGGGTCTGACTTGGTCAATTTGACCAGGTCAAACCTCCTTTGACCAAGAATTGGCCAAAATCGAGGTCAACAATGCAATGCATAAAAGAGATTTCCACTTGATGCACTCATGTGAGTCTTTCTCGACATGGTGGAAGATTAATTTATTGTATTGTGTTATTTTTCTCAAGGAGCACTCAAAAACACTCATACATGCTTTTTTTGCATGGTAGGTATACAAACACCATCCCGACGTCCTCCTCTAAGCCTCTCTCCCTCTTCTCCCAGCCGGTGAGCATCGGTGGAGAAATGATGGCAGACGACAGATAACATCTGTCCACATGCAAGGAGAGGAGTGGGGTGGCACCTTGGTGAGGAAGAAGTCGATCCTGGAGGAGAAACGGAGGGGTTTTAGTGGACTGCACTAGAGCAGAGAAATTCTGATGGGACTCTGGTGGTAGTGGTGAATAATCCAATGTATGCTCAAAACTCTAAGAAAATAATTTATTAAAATTAATTGATTTTTTTTATTAGATTTCATAAAATATTTATTTTGAGATTTATTTAGATTTTATCTTGTTTTTTTATAAACCAAATAAAATTCAAGTATTATTGTGATATTACCAAAAAAAAAAAAAATCCACTTAATTTAGCTTATATCACAATGTAGATTATAATAACTAAAATGGGCTGCTCTAGATCTTTTCCATATTTATGGGGAATGTTACTGTCAAAAATCTCTAAATAGTCCCTCACCCCTACACGAATGGTACATTTGACAAGATATTCAAGAGAGTTTGAGGTTTAAGGAATCTCAAAGAATCACCCGAGCATCACTAGGAGCGAATCCTTACTAGTGAATACCATCTTCCGACTACTATCATCAAACTCTCATCGTTTGACCATGATCTGTCTAATCTTTGTCGCGTGGCAATAATTTCTCTGACCATTATCACCCGCCTATAGTCCCTCTTACGGTTGTTGTTTCACTATGGTGCCTTGGACAACTATGGTCCCTCAAACCTTCGTCTCATTACTATGATCCTATTGACCATCAGATGTAATTTCTATGCTTATTTGGTATGTAACACATCATTGTCCTGGAATAGCTTTAATATTATTGTGAGAGCTCTCAAAATTTTCTTAAGAAGTTATGTTTGTGAGTTATTATAATTACTTGGGAGCTCTCTATTAAATTTAAAAATTATTATAATTTTTAAATAGTTTGGTTACAAATTATACCTTTTTTTTAAATTATGAAAAAAAAAAATCATTATTTTCATTTTTCAATCACGCCTTTTCCATGGAATCCGATTTTAATTTATTTTAAAATGTAATTAGAGATAATTATTTAGTAATTATCATCATATTAAAACAAAATCATAATTTAAGATCAAAAACAAAAAAAAAGTTATTTTAATTTGTTTAGAATTGAAATGTTGATATCAGGATCTCAAGAAACTTAATAAATTTATGAATAAAATATAATACTTTATTGTATTTTGTAATAATTTTTAAAATAAAAACTAATTTTTGCAGAACTAATTCAAGAACTCGGCAAAATTTTGGTGATAGCATTTTGAGTAAAATTTAGTTCGGCAGATTAAACATCTATATATAAGAGATCAATTGTTGTAATTTAAAAATACATATATTTTTTAAAATAGAAAAATATTTTTTTTGTCAAATAAAATTAGCTGCTAAATGATAAAAATTATTATTTTTTCTTCGTATTTTGTTATTCAATTAGCAATTTGTTAACTATTCATTTTTTTTTAAATTAACTTCTTGTTAGATTTGTTGCAAAGCAAAGCTTTCTATTGCAAGAAAAGCATGACTTCTAAAAAAGATGGTTGAGAAGCTTTTTTAATTTCTCATGCGATCATTTTTATAAAATAACAAAAAATTTTGTTAGAATATATCCCAATCAAGTTCTAGCTAATATGAGCTTGAAAATTATTGAATTTATTTTTATTTATTAAGCTAATTTTAAAATAAATTCAGTAGTTTGGACCAATTTAATTAATTTTACATTGGGCAAAAATATTATATATATATAAAAGTTAAAATCTAAAATAATTTATTATATTTCATTCTAATTGATGAACTAAAAACAATTACAAGCTCATTTTATTTTATTTCATAAACATTATTATTTTCACATTTGCTGGACATATTGATTTTATTTTTATCTAAATCTTAAATATATATTTATTTTGCTATTAACTTCTATTAAATTATGAAATTTACTAAAATTGGTAAGAAACTCTTTATTATATTAAAAATTTTAATTCATATATGTAAATTCTTAATTAGAAATTGCAAGAAAAATCATGTAGAAATTTGTGAGAAACTATATTGTTGGTACTTAGTCACAATATTATATGAAATAACATTATTGATATTTTTACATAAAAATATTAGCATTAATACTAATGTTTTTACATAAAAATATTAGTATTATATGAAATATAAGAACAAATATATTCCTCTTATATAGAAGACTTGTTTGATATGACATGTATATTGATATACACGACATGACATATATATTTTATAGACATATAAATTCATGATAGACCTACTGAGTTATGTATGAGCTGGGTATAGGTATGACAAAACCTATCGATCCTTTATATTTATACTGAATAATGGTTATGAATTATATTGCTTATATGGATTTATATTGCTTATATAAAATGATATTGTTTATATTAATTGCTGCATGATATTTTAATTACTTTCTTATATTGATTTTGGTCGAATGATTATATGCATTTTACTTCTATTGTCTTGTATTGATGACAATTAAAGGTTATGGTAACATAATAAGCTGTTAGGTAACTTTATGATTGTTAAATGTTTACATGGAGGGGTCAGAATCTAGATTTTTTTTTGGAAAATAAACTTTTTTTCTTGGATTTCCGCTTTCTATGTTTACGCACCCCCCCCCAGCTAACACCCACATGTGAAATTAACTTAACAGGAACCTCAACAAGACGACCAAATAATTGGAAGAGAAAATGCAAGAAAACCGAGTGAAACTACGAAGAGATTACCCATATGTCGGCAACAAAATGCGGATGAAGACAGAAAACCCTAAAGCTCTCCACATAACACTTTTTGATGACTCAATTGATTTTAAGGGGTCAGAGTCTAGTGGAGTGGGATTGATCAAATTTTAGGTTTTGTTTTATTTTTTGTATTTTTGATTTTATTCTTTTCTAATAAGGAGTTTAAGAAGATAGATTGATAGATGTGGTGATTGATCTCTTGAGTTTTGTAAATTGAATTTTGATAAATAAATGTAGAAATATTTTGATATATAAGACTTATAGTTCCTTATGCTGGGCAATTTATATAACAAAATGATTAGTAACACTGATAAATTAATGAAGAAATGAAACATGCAATTCTTCTAAATTTAAATATTAGGATGTTACAACTATGATAATCGCTTGAGAGCAGGAAGCCACATAGAGGTGCGGGTCAATGTGGGAGTCAAACATATTAGGCCACATATTTATGCCAATTTGTAATAGTCATGTTATTTGTTATATTTTTTATTTTCTTATAAGTGTAATTTTTCCTGTAGCCATCATAATTATATATATATAATTCGTTTTCTAAGCCTCTAATGAGCCATAAATAAATTTATGAAAAAAATTAAATTTATATTAGTTAATGGTATACGACGAAATTTGCTGAACTTTCGAATATGATCGTTCGTGGTTCTTTATGAAAATAATTTATTTTTATCGGACTTCCCAATATCCTCCTCTTTTGGTCCCGGGCGCCTCTATAACGCTTATTTATTTTCTTTCAGTCCAGAGCGAGCGAGAGACGGAGAGAGAGAGAGATGGATCGAGACTGGGGATCGAAGCCTGGGAGCGGCGGCGCTGCTTCGGCGCAGAATGAGGCGATCGATCGGCGGGAGCGTCTCCGGCGTCTGGCCCTGGAGACTATTGACCTGGCTAAGGATCCCTATTTCATGCGCAACCATCTCGGCAGGTCTTTTTATTCCTAACCCTAACCAACAACTCCAGTAGCTTCTTATGCTGGTCCTAGGCCTACATAACTAGCTCTAATCCATGTTATTCTAGAGATTCTTTATCTAATTCGTTATTATTATGAGTCTTGTTTGACGTTGAATATTGTTGATGAAGCTACGAGTGCAAGCTGTGCCTGACGCTGCACAACAACGAGGGTAACTATCTTGCTCACACGCAGGGGAAGCGGCATCAGACGAACCTCGCAAAGAGAGCGGCTAGAGAGGCTAAGGACGCACCCACTCAGCCTCAGCCCCACAAGCGCAAAATCGCCCTTCGCAAGAGTGGTTTGTTTCCTGTGCTTTAAGTCATCACATCTTAAACAGTTATTCCTAAAAAAAAAAAAAAAAAAAGCTTTACTATAGATTCTATAATACAAAATTTACATGCCACTTACGAGATATGTTTTTCACCTCAATGAAATTTTGATTCCATATTGATTTTTGTTCAAAATGACTTGGGCGATTGTTCCTCATTACGCCTAAGGTTATCATGAATGTTTCCCTTTGGATAAATCAAATATATTATTTGATTTTTTATGAATGTTTTTGTTTTTATTTTATATTTTATTACGGTTAGGTTTAATATATATGTCCCTTTCCTTTTAGCTTCCCTGAAATTATAGCAAATTATGGAAGATATTCTGTTAATCAAGTTCAGGGATTGCATACTTTGAGAATCTAAATGTAGATCGATATGCAGATCTAACCAGTCACCTTATGCTTAAGGAGGATTGAAAAAGGTGGTAAAATAGGTCGTGGATTTCACGTCTTCCTTTCAAATTTTGAAAAAGATTTCAGCTAAAGACTTTAGTTTTCTAGCTGTCAATCATATGCATAATGACTTAGAAGTTTTTTTCTCTCACATAACACATAAAAAGCAAATAAAACCAAATTTGAATTAAACGAATATAAGCAAAGCCTTAAAAGGCATTATACGATCTGTGATCAATGTATATAGCAAGTTGAATAAGCATGAGGCATCTTTATGCAGCTAATATAAAAGTTTTGTTCACCAAACAACTGATTAAGGTTCAAATTTGAAACTTTATGCATTTTAGGGCTAATGTATACGCAACATTCATGAAACTCCCACGATTTAAGACCACGAATTTCATCTTTGACTATTTAACTATATTTTGCTGGGATGTTAAGTATTTTTCTTTCAAATATTTTGCGATGCAATATGCTTGTTTATGTGTAAAGACTTGGCTACCATGTTATTTCACTTTGCTTCTCATCTTGATTAAGTTATTGATTGCAAAGTGGGTGATTAGATTTTAGTCAGAGTTGATGCATATTTAGGTTTTTCTCATGTGTATAAAATCTTAACCTCCAACATGTTTTTTGTTCATGAAGTTAATGGTTAATTTCTCTTAAGGGGTATACTTTTCTTACTTATTTTTTATTCTTTTCATTTCTTACTATTCATTACTATTATTAAATAAAATTTTTATTGGCTTGCTTTCTTAGGAATTTGCATGCTTATTTGTTCATATATTTTGTATTAGATTGTTTGAATAGTTGGAAAATTCATTAAAAAATTGCATGACATCTTTTTGTTTATATCACATATCATATCATGAATTAACTTTTATTAGAAAATGATAGACCTAGAAACATCTTGAATAGGTTCCTCAATTTGATTTATTCTTTTATCCACTTTCCTTCTTCTTTCCTCCCTAAAGAAGAAATGACAGCTGAGTGCTTTGACAAGTCACAAGTGGACCTCGTATATATTCTATATTTTCTTAGTAATATTATTTTTCATTAGGAAACATACTGTTTGAAACATTTTGCATTAAATTCTGGATTATATCTACTCTTTTCTTCACTTTTTCTTGAAGAGGTGGACCTAGTTACCCCATGATTTTGAAAATCAAATTAAACATTGAACCAAACGAAGGAAATGTTCATGGTTTAAATGTTCTACCTAGATTTGATGGCGGCTTGAACCATGCTGACATTATAAAATATAATAATTATTTAAATGATATAATATTTGTAAAGTAGTGCAATTAATTTCCAAAGAATATATATACCATATGGTTCAATGATTTAGGAGCAATTTGACCGTGGGTGAGATTATGGGTTGAAATTGGTTGATTGAACCCAAAATACTATTGCGTTTGGTCTTTAGAACCCAAAATATTGTTTGGTTTGATTAAAATTAGATTAATTTTTTGTCGTTGTTTAAACCATTGAGTTCTTTGAATTTTTACTTAATTCGATGGATCAATGGTTCAACCACGGGTTTGTGCTATTTTTTTTCTAGTTATCTATAAAGTTGGTTTTTTCTTACTTGTTTGAATCATGTAAAAAAGTTCTCATATCAAGTTGAACTGATCGATATGATCCTTTCAAAAGGCTAGGTAGTTCTTATGGTTATTCTCTATTTATCTCTACATCATGTTTGGGTTTAGAGAACTGATCGATATGATCCTTTCAAAAGGCTAGGTAGTTCTTATGGTTATTCTCTATGTATCTCTACATCATGTTTGGGTTTAGAATGGAGCACATTATTCTCATTTTCTCATTTTTCTCGAGATGATGGGAGTGTGGAAAATCAAAATAAAAGGAAAAGAGTCTGCCGGTATCATGCAGAGCACGTGGCTGGCAATATCAACCATAAAAATCTAGTTTCAAGCCCGAAGTACTATTTCCCATTCCCATTTTTCATGTACAACTCCGTTAAATTGGTTGACCTGTCATCTCTTATCTTTTAGTGCAGGAAGGTATGGAGACTATTGTCTTGTCTAGTTGGTAGAGGAGAAAGAGTCATTTAAAACTATGGGCCCCTGACACATGTTTAGAAAGAATATGAAGATAGTTAAGCAAATTAAAAATAAGATCTGTAAAACTTTGTATTGAAGTGGACCCAACTAAAATATTTTAAAAGCTATCAAATATTTTTTTCCTTAAATATTAATTTAATATACAATTTTTCTAAAACATGAGGAACCTAATGATGAGATGTTAAAACTAGCTGTCAAAAACTCTACTTGGCTCAAACACAGTGGACTTTGATGAAATTTGTCTTACAAAAATCTGATGGGAAATTATAAACACACATATCTTATTGTTCGTTGTCAAAGTAGAAAAGAAAGAAATATGAAATTAGTTTCATGAGTTAATTAAAATAACATAGCAATTTATGTATAGTCAATGCACCCTTACCTACTACCTTAAACATGTGATTAGCAAATATTCACTTAGCTTATTAACACCTCATGATGTAGCAAAAAATTATAAAATGAAAGAAGTTTAGATGGATGTAGGGAATAAAAAAAAAAAAACAGAAGGATATCTATTGTAATTTATCTGCGAAAAAGCTTTTAGTTCATGTGCTATAAATTTTGCATACGGCTAACATGATTAATGCCCTTCGTTCTATTCAATAGTTTTTATTGCTGACAAATTTCACTGATTGATTGTTTATTTTTTTTAATGATATATTATGTTTTTGCAGTTAAGATTGGTAGGCCTGGTTACCGTGTGACCAAGCAGTATGATTCAGAGACAAAGCAGCGCTCTCTTTTGTTTCAGGTTAGTAGCTTCATTTATGATAACTGATATTTGTATCATCTTAGGCACCAAATAAAACCCTGTAGTTTTGCTTGTAACAAGAATAATTTTCTTATTTACCCAATTATGTAGATTGTAGAAGATAATCTTTTTTTTAAGTTGAGCATTAAGTCTGTTCTTGGCCGGGCACCATACAGAGTTCTAAATTTCTTATGCTTTTGTCAATCCATTATGCTCATTCTTGATAAGGCACATGGTATGGAATTTATTAAATACAAGTAAGGAAATTGTATATTTGATTTGAAATATGTTAGATTAAAGAAATAGCCTCATTACTATGATTGCGTGGTAGTTTTCTTGTAATCTTCTGCTAATTTTCATACACACACGCACACACATACATATGGATGCATACACACTCACAAACACATCCATACATTAAAATATGATGAATATGCACATATGGTCATTCATGTTTGTCCCTTGACGATAAGTTTGGTAACAATACTTATAATCATCTGCAGTTACAATTATAACAGTCAAAAGATGCTAGTGTATACATTTAGATTTGAACAAGGCTCTATAATAGTTGAATTGGACATGTAAATTGAATTTACATGTCTATATGCATCATGCATGCATAGTTTACAGGAACACACATTGCTAATTAATTTGTTTCTTAAGTAAATCAATCACTAATCATCGTACTTTGACAACCTACATTTTAAATAGGACATCTATGCAACTTTTTGGGGTACTTGGCATAATATTTTTGGAATATCAAGTAACGGCACAAAACTAGTTACTAGTGTGTAGCTGGTAGTTGTTGAAATAATTCCAAATCTTTGGCAAATATCTTTTCATCTGCAACAATCTATGGACATTAATTTTCTATTTTTGCTATGTAGGTAATCTTGAATTCTAGAATTAAGGATTAAGTTTTAAACTTATTTATTTTCTAGATAATTATTTCTTTATGTACAATTTCATATCATATTTTTTAACACAAAGGGAATAAGATTTTATCATAAAATTTCTAATTTGTATTCTTTCCTCTTATTATTCTAATTTTTAAGATGATATTAAAAACTTTGAGGTTCTACATGTGAGGTTGACGGGTCCTTCAATATAGAGTCTCTCCTTAATATCAATGAGTCCATCAATATTGAAAATCAGTCTTCGTCCAATAAGAGTGGCCAAACTACATGTGAAGGATCCTGTTAGAAAGAAAATGGTCACAGATTCCATAAAGAAGTCAGTGTTCAAGAAGTTGATAATGCTAATTTTGAAAATCAACCTTAATAGGGAAAGTCCAGATCCATAAAATTAAAATTTCATGATGAAATATTGGACTGAAACATTTCAAAGAAAAGCAGCAGGAAAGACAAATTGATGTAGCGGTCTACTTTCTTTTCAAGCATTTGGACAACAAATCGGCACATACAGCTGTTCGATGCTTTTTTTGAAATATAATTGAAATAAACTTGATTCCTTGAAAAGGTAAATACCTTATATACGAACTAGAAAAAAACCACTACTTGCATTGTAGACTCAGAAAACTTTAAATCTTATGATATGAGACATGTCATGAAAATTATAATGTTGAAGTAGAAACACATCATTATTAAAGGCGGTCTCAATAGGTCGTGCTATTCTCTTTAAAGATCAAGCATTTGAATATGTGCTTCTAGTGCCCTTCCCAGATTGCAACTTACAATCAATGAACAAACTCACTCAATATAAAATTTGTGTTGTTAATTTCTCATATAAGACTCAACACTTTACATGTTGAACTTTAAGGAGAATGATTGGCTATATTGATATTTGCTTAGGGTTTTACCTTTTACCGTAATAAGGCCCAAATTCAAATAATGGGTTATGTGCTTGCCAAAACCATCACTTCAAGCATGAATTTGGTAGAATCGTTTAGGTCACCCAAATTTTAGTTTCATTGAAAAAATAATTCCTGCATCATTCACCCCTAGAAATTCAAAGGATATTCGGTATGTAAATTTTTATATGGCTAAACATGCTTGTAGTTCTATCGCAACTAAAACCTATAAAATTTTCAGCCTTTTGCTTTAGTCCATTACATTAGGGGTGTCAATTTGGATTGGCAATTCAGGTTCAAGTTTGTCTTGAAATTGATCCAATCCGAATGTGCTTGACTCAAACCTGACTCATTTATCATACGGGTCAAAATATTTGACCCAAACTTGAATATACCTAAACTTCACTAAGTCAAACCCAACTTTTTTATCATGTAGATCTTGAAATTTTTTATATCAACAGGGCATTTTTAACTTAAATTCAACTTGTTTAATCCAAAGATAAGTCATTTAACCTGAACTCAAATGATAATCAGTTCAATTTTAGGTTTAAGCTGACCCAAATATTAATCGAGTCAATATTGTATTTGGAGTTGCATGTTTTTTTTAATCAATGATCATATCTGTCTTCCTTGATTTTTCTTAATGAAAGAAAAATTAGAAGTGAGTCAAATTTTTAAACATTTCAACACTATGATTCATATTCAATTTCAGTCCAAAATCAAAATCCTAAAAACTGGCAATGCCAAGAAATGTTTTGAATCAATCTTACAAAATGATCTCCAACATCAAGGGATTATCCACAAAAACTCTTGCATTGACACATTTCATAAAAATGGGGTTATGAAAAGAAAAAAAAAAAGCATCTCTTAAGGTGGCTAGATTGCTAGTGTTCTCCATAATTGTTCCTAAGTATCTCTAGGGACTGTTTATCTGTTTAATAAAATATGCTATGAGTACTCAACTTTCAAACCCCATATTCAAACATTTCTGTTTCTCTATTCATTTTCTAGTATCAAAATAATTTCTTCTCTTCCTCAAAAAAAAAAAAAGGGTGTTCAGTCTACATTCACGATCATTCTTAGTGCAAAAGTAAAATAAACCCTTAAGATAGTTGGGTATCTTTATTATATACATCTCAGTTAAAAAAAAGGATAAAAATGCTATTATTATATCACTATAAAAATTTATAATTTTATGGATGTACCCTTCCTTCAGCACTAGTCATACTAATCTAAACCCGACATTCAGAGTGAGGAAAATCAAGATTAAAATCTCTTATTTTTTCCACATTTTTATGTATATTTTATCATCTTTTTTGACATAAAATAAAGAAACAAATTCAATCATAAAATTTCTTTTTTTTTTTAGTTTTTTTTTTCTTTGCATTCTAATTTTTAGGAGATATTTTAGAAATATCGATGCTGTAATGATTTGTGAGGGCCACTTCAATGGGAGTTTCATAAATCTAATATCCACTGATGTAGTTTAGTATGGTGTCTGTTATGTTTCCCAAGTTATATTTTCTTAGGATGGAATGCCTTCATATGCCTATTTTAGTTTCTTAACATGTTACTTTTATCTGTTTTGTTCCTATGATGAATAACCTGCATATGCCCGCCATTTTAGTTTCTGGGAATGTTGCTCTTAACATTCGAAGTGCATTTTTCGTTGATCTTATTGCTTCAGATTGAGTATCCAGAAATTGAAGACAATACAAAGCCAAGGCATAGGTTCATGTCATCCTTTGAGCAGGTATTTTCAGTGTGATTATTACTCAAATTCACTTATGGATTTGCATGTATTTCATGCCATTGTTTTAAATGGGCAGTATAATATTTCCTTAAAATAATTGCCTTGTTTGTACAGAGGGTCCAGGCTTGTGATAAGAGATACCAATATTTGCTCTTTCATGCAGAGCCATACGAAATCATTGCTTTCAAGGTACATTTTGCTTGTTCTAACCAGAAAACGCTAAACATAAAACTTTATAGGCCAGAATCAGTGTGAACATTGGCATGAATTTGATTTCTTGCTATTGTGATAAGTTGGATCAATTACTGCCTTTGAAATGTGGAGCTTTTAGCGGACATTCAGGGTTATTTTTTATTAATTCTTATTTTGTTTATGTTTTAACTTAAAATAAAACATAGTTGATATTTAAAAATATGTTGTTTCTGTTTATTTATGTGGTGATGTTGACAAGGAAATGGTGGCGGTTGAGGAGACACTGATGGTGGTGGTGGCCAATGGTGATAATTACTTTTAAAAAAATACTCGGACACTAAAAAAAATATTTAGTGTTTTTTTTTTGAAGCAACATGATTTGCTGTAAATGCAAAAAATATTAACATTTAAAAATATATTAAACAAAAGCTTTAAAAAAACACTTCCAAACAGGCGCTTAGCATTTCTTGGTAGTTGATGCCAACTTGATATGGGGATATCATTTTTATGCGATAAACAATTAAACAATATTGAACATCACCTGAGCACCCTATGAAGCAATGCATGTCAAAATTGGAGCCCTTCAATTGGTGCGTTGATAGCGCCTCTGCTCATCAGATGCCAAACATTAGACTGGTGCCTTTGTTTCACATAGTTATTTCATTAATATCGCACTCTTTTTTTTTGTTCTTACACTTTATCAAAACACATTCCATGCACGATATATAGTCTATTGTGTAACATTATTTAGAATATAACCCTTCCGAGGCTGGCTTCCTTTTTTTCTTCGTTTCAAGGGAAACATAAAGCTATTCCTAAGTCTAATAATGTCTTCTTCTGACCCATTATGTAGTGCTAGTTTTTATGATCCTAATTGTTTCTTTTTCCTTCATTTTTAAGTGCAGCAAATTATATCGTGATTTTATTTTTGGAAAAAATATAACATATGTATCATCAAATCTTTCTTATATGTATATAGATATCGTGTGTGAAATGCAATTGTTTTTTATTAGGATTATATTTATTATATCCTTGGAGATTATTAACTTATTTGAAGAATGCAAGAGGTGAAAGGTAGCAAGTAATGTGCCTTATGGATTAGATTAAGGGTTTATTTAGTTCACTAAATTTTCTTTTTAGAAATTGACGCCTTATTTAGAGATTACAATAAGCATATATTCTTTGAGAAATTGATGCCTTGTCTTCTCTTAAGAGAAGACGAGCTCATCACTTACATTGGCTGATGTTAGTCGTCAGTATTTGGATACCCTCTTTCGCCGAATGAGTATGTTTGACATTTACAAAACTCTTCTCAGGTTCCAAGCACGGAGATTGACAAGTCCACTCCAAAATTCTTTTCCCATTGGGATCCAGACCTAAAGATGTTCACGGTTAGTATAAACTTAGGCTTTGTTTGGGATGACTTTCTTTCTACTTCTTAAAGTAGTTTTTTATACAAAAACTGTTTTAAGAAGCATAAAGAAAGCCGTCCCAAACGAAACCTTAATCTTCTACAGTTAGAACTAAGCTTTTTTAACCTCCTTAGCATTTTTACATATTTTTATGCATGGGCAGTTGCAACTATACTTCAAAACAAAGCCACCAGAATCTAGCAAAGTTCCGGCTACCTCTGTTCCATCAGCCAATGGCACAACAGCCCCTGGTGTTCCTCCAAGACCTTTGCCTCCACTTCAAGCACCTCCCCCACCTCCACCTCCACCTCAAGGAGCACCACCTCCACCAAATCCTGTCGGAAACCCTTCCGCAAGAGCCCCTCCGCCGCCTATAGGTGCTTCTCAACCCCCACCACCACCGCCTCCTTCGACGGCAAATGGTCTGCCCCGGCCTATCCCTCCGCCGATGGCTGGGACCGGTGCAATGGCAAGCTTCACTCCAGGGCTCCGGCCACCAATGCAGTCCTTTATGGGGCAGCAAATACAAAACCAGGTTCATTTTCCTCCCCCCCTCCCACCTAATATGGGTCAGTAATCACCGGTTTCTTCTTCATACCATGGATGTTTTAATCAGACTTTTATGTTTTGTTTGCTACTTGTGTGATTTCATAAAGCTGAAATCGTAGCAGAAGATCTTGATGAGATACTGCTGATCTATAAGTAGATTTTCCCACCATTTTCTACTTGGTTTTGGTTCATGCTAATGATTATTGTGTACCCCAGACCTGTCAATCATGGAATGACTGAGAATCAAACGAACAATTATTACGTCCTCCGACCGGACGCAGAGGAACGTCCGGTTAGAGGCCAAATCCCGCCAAAAAACGAGTTGTACCGAGCAAATACCGAGCAATACCAAACAATAACGAGGAATACTATCATTTGAAGACCCAATACCGAGTTATACCGAGCTAAACCGAGAAATACCGAGATATGCAAAAGTTGTACCGAAAAACTCGTTATTTCTCGGTACAGTTCGGTATAACTCGGTATTGGTTTTCAAAGAGCGGCATTCCTCGTTAATATCAAATAATACCTAGCTGTACCAAGCAAATACCGAGTTTTTTGGCGGGATTTTGCCTCTAACCGGACGTTCCTCTACGTCCTTACACCCGACGTAATAAAAGTTCGAATCAAACAAGATAAAAAGGGTTGTTTTGTTAAGAAAGTGTTATGTTATTATCAAATGTTATTTGTGGTTTACCGTTATTTTTTTAAAATGGAATTCAAATTCTTTTTTGATGATACTATGTGTTGGCAAATGACCTCTTAGGCTGTTTGAGCTATGACTGGTCTAGGCCTCATGCACCATGGGAATCACTTAACCTGACATGAGTTTAGGCCTAACCATTTGTCCTATTAGTAGTTCACTTAGAATGGTTTGACCTGACCCCATTGAGTTGAGTTGACACGATTCGATTAATCGGGTTTGATTTGACTCAAATCACCATCACGTCTGAGACTTTATGGATCTTGCCCCCCATTCAAATTGCTGTTTTTCAGCAGTTTCTACTTGCAACAGAGATCTATAATTGCCTCTCCATCATCAGAAATTATTCCGTGCGGAGTTCGGACATAAAATAGTTTTCGCCTGGATTGTGAGTGTACACAGTATACAAATAATATATACACAATTTGAACCCTAAATTTGAACTAAATTGTGTACAAAAATTATACAGTGCACATAGTATGTGCACTCACAATTTGGATGTAAAATTTTCATCCGGATTCCACACAATAATCTCCTCCATCAAAGGCTAGAATTTAAAAAATCTTCAAGTCTCTAGATGTTGAACTTTTTTTTTTTTTTTTTTTATCATAAAAATAAAATTAGCGTTCTCAATAAAAATCATTTTTCAGTATTGTAGAGCCTTATATATAACATCAAAACTATTAATTTTTCAACATTATCAGAAATAAAAATAATGTTTTTAAAAAAATTTTCAACTATTCTATAATTAATCTATAACGCGTCCAACTTATATTGAATATACGTGAACGAGAAGTATGATTATAAAAATAAAATATATGAAATGGTTTGATATTAAATGCTTGAATTATTCATCATATTTTAAACATATATCATAATTTTATTTGATATAATATGATCAGTTTTAACTGCTTTAAAAATATCACAATTCTCTTAAAATAATCTTATTAAAAAGTAACACAATAATCATATATTTCTATGAACAAATATTCTTCATAACCACGAACTTTTATTTGGTCCGGCGAACGTAAGTAGAATTACATCTGGTCGGCACTAAGATTGCATGCACAAAATGAGAAATACCGAGTGAATACCAACCAATACCAATAATAATGAGAAATATCATTAGGTGAAGACGAAATACCAAGTTATACCAAAAAGTACCAAGATTTACTATGTATTTTTTGATATAACTCAATATTGCTTGGTATAACTCGGTATTGGTCTTCCCAGAACGGTATTCCTCCATATTATCAAACAATACCTATCAATACTGATCAAATACCGTGCAAAATTTGAGTAACAAGCCTCTGATCGGACGTAGATCTATATCTGATCAGAGGACATAATAATTGGAACTTTTAATGATAAATAAAACGACTCTTTAAAAATCATGAATATCTTTCTTTCTTCATGTAAAAAACATCAATTAAACACAATTTAACTTCTAAGTATAATATATAATATTTGAAAAAAAAATCCTAATAGAAGATAGATCAATACGAGTATCTTATTATTACAACGAACCATTTTTAAGTAAAATTTTTTTCAAGGCTTCATTTGGAATAGCTTTTTTATTGCTTCTTAAAATAACTTTTTACTAAAAAATTAAATTTTTATAAAAAAAAAATTGCTTTAAAAAGCAATAAGAAAGCTGTCCCAAACGAAACATAAATTTGTAATTAAAATGTAGTAAAAATATGAAAGTTAGATAATAACTGAAGAGCACTAAACTCTCTTTCACCTTTTATGGAATCATCCATTTAAGCTAAGTTCCCTATACATAAGACCTCAAGTGGCCTATCTTTTTTTCAAGAAAGAAAAAAAAAAGAAAAGCCAGCAGGCTCTAACCATTGACGCCTGCAACATAAATAATTTGTCACAAATGCTCTATTAGCCTTTCTTAAGGACGTGAAGATCAAAGAAGAGCAACTTTTGCAAGCAGAAGTTTTTTTTTTTTTGCTTACATCACAAAATTAAAAATAAATAATAAAATAAAAGTAAAAGCCACCAATGCAGTCCTTTATGGGGCAGCAAATACAAAACCAGGTTCATTTTCCTCCCCCCCTCCCACCTAATATGGGTCAGTAATCACCGGTTTCTTCTTCATACCATGGATGTTTTAATCAGACTTTTATGTTTTGTTTGCTACTTGTGTGATTTCATAAAGCTGAAATCGTAGCAGAAGATCTTGATGAGATACTGCTGATCTATAAGTAGATTTTCCCACCATTTTCTACTTGGTTTTGGTTCATGCTAATGATTATTGTGTACCCCAGACCTGTCAATCATGGAATGACTGAGAATCAAACGAACAATTATTACGTCCTTCGACTGGACGCAGAGGAACGTCCGGTCAGAGGCCAAATCCCGCCAAAAAACGAGTTGTACCGAGCAAATACCGAGCAATACCAAACAATAATGAGGAATACCATCATTTGAAGACCCAATACCGAATTATATCGAGCTAAACCGAGAAATACCGAGTTATGCAAAAGTTGTACCGAAAAACTCGGTACAACTCGGTATTTCTCAGTACAGCTCGGTATAACTCGGTATTGGTCTTCAAAGAGCTTTATTCCTCGTTAATATCAAATAATACCTAGTTGTACCAAGCAAATACTGAGTTTTTTGGCGGGATTTTGCCTCAAACTGGACGTTCCTCTACGTCCTTACACCGGACGTAATAAACGTTCGAATCAAACAAGATAAATAGGGTTGTTTTGTTCAGAAAGTGTTATGTTATTATCAAATGTTATTTGTGGTTTACCATTATTTTTTATAAAATGGAATTCAAATTCTTTTTTGATGATACTATGTGTTGGTTAAATGACCTCTTAGGCTGTTTGAGCTATGACTGGTCTAGGCCACATACACCATGGGAAACACTTATCCTGACATGAGTTTAGGCCGAACCATATGGCCTATTAGTAGTTCACTTAGAATGGTTTGACCTAACCCCATTGAGTTGAGTCAGATTCGATTAATTGGGTTTGATTAGACTCAAATCACCATCATGTCTGAGACTTTATGGATCTTGGCCCCCATTCAAATTGCTGCTTTTCAGCAGTTTCTACTTGCAACAGATATCTATAATTGCCTCTCCATCACGAGAAATTATTCCGTGCGGAGTTCGGACGGAAAGTAGTTTTCGTCTAGATTGTGAGCGTACACAGTATACAAATAATATATATACAGTTTGAACTAAATTGTGTATAAAAATTATACAGTGCACACAGTATGTACACTCACAATCTGGATGTAAAATTTTCATCCGGATTCCACACAATAATCTCCTCCATCAAAGGCTGGGATTTAAAAAATCTTCAAGTCTCTAGATGTTGAACTTTTTAATTTTTTATCATAAAAATAAAATTAGCGTTCTCAATAAAAAAATTTTTCAATATTGTAGAGTCTTATATATAACATCAAAACTATTAATTTTTCAACATTATTAGAAATAAAAATAATGTTTTTAAAAAAAATTTCAACTATTCTATAATTAATCTATAACGCGTCCAACTTATATTGAATATACGTGAACGAGAAGTATAATTATAAAAATTAAATATAGTATAATTATAAAAATTAAATATATGAAAGGATTTGATATTAAATGCTCGAATTATTAATCATATTTTAAACTTAATTCATAATTTTATTTGATAAAATATGATCAGTTTTAACTGCTTTAAAAATATCACAATCTTATTAAAAAGTAACACAATAATCATATATTTCTATAAACAAATATTCCTCATAATTTCAAACCCTAAATATTATTTGAACATTTAATGATAAATAAAACGACTCATTAAAAATTATGAATATCTTTCTTTCTTCATGTAAAAAACATTAATTAAACACAATTTAACTTCTAAGTATAATATATAATATTTGAAAAAAAAATCCTAATAGAAGATAGATCAATAGAGTATCTTATTATTACCACGAACTATTTTTAAGCAAATTTTTTCCAATGTTTCATTTGGGACAGTTTTCTTATTGCTTCTAAAAGTAGCTTTTTACTACAAAAATTAAAATTTTTATAAAAAAAAATTGCTTTAAGAAGCAGTAAAAATGCTGTCCCAAACGAAACCTAAATCTGTAATTAAAATGTAGTAAAAATATGAAAGTTAGATAATAACTGAAGAGCACTAAACTCTCTTAACACCTTTTATGGAATCATCCATTTAAGCTAAGTTCCCTATACATAAGACCTCAAGTGGCCTATCTTTTTTTCAAGAAAGAAAAAAAAAAGAAAAGCCAGCAGGCTCTAACCATTGACGCCTGCAACATAAATAATTTGTCACAAATGCTCTATTAGCCTTTCTTAAGGACGTGAAGATCAAAGAAGAGCAACTTTTGCAAGCAGAAGTTTTTTTTTTTTTGCTTACATCACAAAATTAAAAATAAATAATAAAATAAAAGTAAAATAAATAATATCTCCCCCTGTTTTCACTTCCAAAATAAGCTTGAGCTAACCAAGCAAGAACTTGAATAAATCACTTAGAGAAATAATTCCTTCAACACGCTTGCTTCCAGCTTCAACAATGATGACCCGCCTCGCACCGGGACTGGACAGCCGTTCCATTACCTTCAGCAAAGAATCAGAGCGTAGGCACATTTGGCATCTCTGCCCGCTGGAGAATCCATGAGGATGATTTACCTCCTGACCAAGCTGCACTGCCTGGAATTTTAAAAAGAATAAGCAAGAAAAAAGAGCAAAACTTTGTTTAGGACGGTTTTCTTACTGCTTCTTAAAGCAGTTTTCTAGTATAAAAATTTTAAATTTTTAAACTAAAAAACTGTTTTAAGAAGCGATAAAAAAAGCGGTCTCAATCAAAGCTTAAGGTTCAATTTCGACTTTTCTACACAACATCTGCATATTTTAATCATGCAAACTTTCATGCAACCAAATAGCAAGTCAAGCACCACCAAAAAAATGTTGATTATGTACAATTGTAATTGTGTAGGTTTGACTAATCAAGTGTTTAGTTACTAATTTAGGCAGGAGTTTAGAAGTCGTTGCACATATAGATGCTGTCTAGAGCTACTAAACCCCAAAAACTGATGAATTCATTAGATGAACTCGGAAGTTGATGATCTTATTAAGCGAACTTGGTTGACGGTCGACTTCAATGTAACTTACCTACCTTCCCCTCTAAGCGGAAATTGCCGAATCTCCATAACAGAGTCAACCTTGAGCTTGCTCCATGAATGACTTAATGCAACAAGCTGCCTTTATATTTTCTTTTCTATCGTATTTCCTATCTAATAGCGTTAACTTTGATTCTCACTAACAAATTGGAGATTAAATATCAGGTGCACTCATTTTGCATATTTTGTTGAATTCTAGGCTTATAGATAGTCATTTTGAGGCCAGCTTTTGATTCAAAACCACTTCGCAAGAAATAGCATAAATCCAAATTGATGATTAACTGATGGACATTTATTCGATAAAAATGGTTAGAATTATTAAATTCTTTTGATTGCTTGAAGGAATCTGAATACCTTGGGGTTACCGAGGCAAACAAATTTTATACGAAAAAAGTTAGCACCCAAGGTCCAATGGTTGATAGTTTAGGAAAAGAATTACTGAAGAAGAAATACCATTCTATTATGTCATTACTAGACAATTTCTGACGGACAATATGAGGCTAATTGAAAGTAGAGTGTTTAACCTGATGGATGGTCATTTCATCGAGGTGCATCTGTGCATAAGCTCTATCTTTGGCTAGAGCTGTGATGTCACTGCGGAAGCAACACGAACATCCAATCAAAAAGAAAAAAAATGTTTCTCAAATAAATCTGAATAAAAAAAGAGAACTTTATAAGTTACCTTCTCGAATATGTATCCAGCAAAGAGTCATTATCATCAACTATTGGAATGGAACTGACACGAGCTGTGAAGGTGATCGGAAAATCAGTGAAGAGAATTTGTAAAAGCTAATAAAAAAGAAGATATTTAAGATTTCAGCGAAATAACAAAGGGCCTATTATGTTCCAAATAAGCACTTCCCTGATATACCTCATAAGCTATACAATAGCAGCAAAATACCCTCCAAGAACTTTGATGTACATTAGCATTTGTTTTGAGAAATCTTATGGTTAGCTAAATAAAAAAAAAAAAAATTGAAGTTGAAAGTGGACATAACCATAGTCCTCATGACAATGGAAACACTCTATAGCAATGATCAGGCTGAGGCTTCATTAGTTAATTATATGTTGTTGCATGTCATTATGACGATATATAAATTAATAGTTACTTTGGTAGAAATGAAAAAGTTCTGTATGTGCATTGCCAATGATCACGGAGACATGAAGGAGCATGTGCAGTATAGTGCTTCCTGTGACAAGTTTCCCGTGCAAATCTTGAAAAAAAGAACTTAACGACGTCACTAAATGAGAGAAAATCAACAAAATATGCAATCAAAGTTTCAACTTCGAGCCATTTTCTCAAAACAGCTTGAATTATATTGTACAAGTGATGATCAACTTATCTGATTGACCAACAAATAAATTCCAGTGATATCACAAACCTATAAATCAAGGCTACTTAATTTTATAGAGCGACTCAGAGACCATACATAAATAACGGCACAAATAAACATTTACAGGACATTTTGTTAGACTGGATCGGTCTAGCTGGTCCGTCGCTTGTACGCACCTCGGGCGTGCGTGAACTGTTTAGGAAGGATTTTTGAGAGAGTTAGGAGGGAAATTTGAATGTAGGGACTGTTAAGGGATTTCCTTTTGATTTGTATGCATTAAATAGTTTGTTTTCCTAGGGTTAGGGCATCTTAAATTTGGCTGAAATTTGAGATCTCTTAGGTTTTCTTTGGGCTCTAGTGGCGTCTAGAGATTGGGAGAGATCGATCCTCCTCTCGAATAGAGGATCAATTGAATCTTGGTATTTTCCATTTCCCTTTCATCAAATAATACAAATTATCTACTGTTTTTGTGGTTTTGTCTGGATTTTTGTGGAGAAATCTTGTTATTTTCTGAAGATTGATAGGAAATACTTGAGATCTACAAGTGTTTCTTATCAAATTGGTATTAGAGCATATTTTGGGACTTTTGAAGTTTTTTCTGTGAAAACCAGCTGTCGTTTTTCAGCCGGAAGAGAGGCTATCTGCTGTTTTCAAGGATCAAAATCTAGATTTTTGAGTCTACAAAGATCTGGGTATTGACGACTGTCAAGAAAGTGGATGTGTTGAAATAACGCCTCGAAGTGGAGATCGGACAAATGAAATTTGAAATTTTAGATCTACAAACTCAAGTTTTAGATTTAAAGAAAGACATTTCAACTATCCACGAGAAGATGGATGAGAATTTTTCCAGCCTGGGGGAGATGTTGAAGAAAGTGCTCGAGGACAAACTAAAATATCATCGTCGGAGGGGAGGGAAGACATCGACAGCCAGGGAGATGGGAAAAATCCTAGGCCAATCAGGCAAAGGGGAGATCAGGAGGGTATCGTCTTTCCACATTGTGGACAAGGTAGATCTTTGGGAGGGGAGTATTGTTAGACCGGTCCAGCCGGTCCGACGGGACCGACCTACGCAAACAGAGGCGGAAATGTTCGCCTCCTGTATGGGCTGAACGCACACCCGGACGTGCGTAAGCTGTTTAGGAAGGCTTTTTGAGGGAGTTAGAAGTGAAATTTGAATGTAGGGTCTGTTTAGGGATTTCCTTTTGATTTGTATGCATTAAATAGTTGTTTTCCTAAGGTTAGGGCATCTTGAATTTGACTGAAATTTGAGATCTATTAGGTTTTCTTTGGGCTCTAGTGGCGTATAGAGATTTGGAGAGATCAATCCTCCTCTTGAATAAAGGATCAATTGTAGCTTGGTATTTGTCATTCCCCTTTCATCAAATAATACAAATTATCTACTATTTTTATGATTTTGAGTGGATTTTTGTGGAGAAATCTCTCTGTTTTCCGACAATTTATAGGAAATACTTGAGATCTACAAGTGTTTCCTATCACATTAATTCCACCCAAAACCAAAAAAACTTAGAATCAGTCCTTTCCAATGTCAATCGCAATGAAGCTGGAACTGTCGCTACTGTTGGAGAAATTTTGCCATCCTCAAACAAATTGCATATTTTATGATCGAGTGCGGCATAAGAAAAATGATATATTATCCCAAACGATAAAAATATTATCTCCTTATGGACTTGATAATAAAATTTACAATTTAACAGAGATTCCCTCATTCAATATTTGGTTTAATGTGGTTTATTTTATTCTATGGTACAGACGCCCTATAAGGTCAAGCATCTATGATTAATTACATCTCAAACTTTTGACAATTGAGAATACTTTTGATAAAGCTAGTGATTTTCTTTTCTTTTGAAGATGATTCAAATATTGGCTAAGATTTGATTTTAAAATCCATTAAATTCTTATTTTAAAGAGCTTTAGTCTTTAGGAATTTCAAAGGACAAAGGCATCAACTTGAAATAATATTTTAGAATGAGAATCAAAGGAGTGAAGTAGGAGCATTTAATTCTGAGAAATCTCACAGGTGCTCAAACTATCACATGTTGGGCTTTATATTTTAGAATCTAATTTTTGTTTAAGTTGATATTTTCATTTAGAATGTTGGGGCTTATATTCCAACAACATGAGTTGGAGAAAATGCCCGGAAGGTGAGGGCTTGTGAATTGATTGAAATCAACTTCTACCTCGGATCCTAAAACTAAAGTGATGACTACTAAATAGAAGTACCTCGAACCTAAGTTTAACGAAATACAAGGGACTTACAAACTACACCTCGCATGAGGCATAGCCAGCCCGATCTCTGGATTTATTGCCCTGCCTGGAAAGGGCTACTAGTTAAACCAACCTAATTGCTTTTAAAATCATGAGGTCCAGTCTCAATGCATATAAGGAGTAGAGAGGTTATTTTTATTTAGAAGATAAGGCTCACAACTTGGTTTTGAGGCCAAGATGCTTGACCATGAAGGGTATGCATAATGCTTACTCACAAAGAAAATAGATTTTTGTTAACTAGTCCTTAAGTAAAGACTTTCTATATGTGACTCACTGGGCTATACATGATCACTTTAAGTTTTAAAAAACTTAGCTCCTTGAAGGAACCATGTAATTTTCATTTCTTTGTTAGAAAAATGTGAAGCCTAGTTTGATTTTAGATTGTTCACTTTTTTTAACATGTAGAAATCTTGATTTTATCCTAAGAGCCTACAATATTCATATGTTCAGGCCACCCCCAAGAAAAATAAGGAAGAAACCTAAAAATATATATTTCTATTGCGCATTCAATAAAAATCAGCACATGCTTGAAAATATAAATTAAATAAGACAAAATGTAAAGAATGTCCCAGTTATACAATAAAGTTTGACAACTGAGTTGTTTGTCATTATACAACCCAGTCAAATATTAATTATAGACTTTTACTTGTGGGGTCTTCAAATTTCAGCTTACAGTTAGATCTTTAGGCTTCACCTTCAATAACTACATCCTTCTTAACCCACATCTTTTTTGACCCAACCCCAAAAGTTTAATTGTAACATCTTAAACCTATCAAATACATATTTGAAAAGAAAAAAAACACAAAAATATAAGATAATGGATTAGAAGCATTTTATATATCATGAAAAATATATCCAAAAGTGCCTAGCACTTAAAGTGCTAAGCCCCTACTTCTATCCTACTGGTTACATTTCCTGGGGAGTTTTTAAGCAACACCTGTCATACAAGTATTTTATATTTATAATTTATTTGCACCCCCCTTTTGGACATGACCACCTGCAAGAAAAGCATACATATATCTATACTAACCACTTAAGGACAAATTCCCACAACGCAGATAATCTAATAGGCAATCACATCACATCATAAACTATATGCACAGAAAAAGAAAAAAAATATAATCCTAGCATGCCTAAGGGCTGTGCACCTAAGTGTGTGAGACTTGTGTAGCATGTCACATTAGAGGTGTTTCATTTCATCTTGGAAGGAAGATGTTTAATCCTAAAACAAGAGTGGTTTCACTTTAAGTTGTAACTTAAAAATTTTATTTGGCATTTAAGTGTTTTATATATAGGAGGGTTATAAAAAACCCATATTTGACTTTTGAGCTGAATGTTGTAGAACTCCCTTTAGCTTTTAGAGCCAAAGAGAAAAAATCTCTTAAAACTCGGAAGCTAAAGAAGAGGTGGATCAAACATAGCTTTAGGGCTAATGGTTAGTGAAATTCTCTTTAACTTTTGAGTCCAAAGAGAAATGAACTAACGCTTAGTCTTTTAGACTAAAGTTAGAAGGAATTCCCATAGTTTGAGAAGTTAAGAAAAAAAACAATAAAACTCATAGTTTTAAGGCTAAGGAGTTAGAGATTTTTCTAAGACTTTTGATGCCATAGAAAGGATAAGTGACCTATAATTTTGGAACTACAAGTCAAGAAGCATTCATTGGATTTTGCATTCAATGATGCACAATCAACTATCTAATTTGGATTAAGTAAATGTAGAAGGGTGAGATGTAAATGTAGATTACAAATCACAAGGAGTTTTCCTTGAACTTTGAGATATTCAAAGAAAAAAATCTCATTCACCCAATTTAGGTTGGGAGAATGAATGAATTTTCTGTAACTTTTGAGTGGTAGGGATAGAGAAGCAAAGTGCAACTTGTAGGTTGCAAATTGAGGAGGCTTTGAACTTTTGGTGTTCAAAGAAGAATCATTCATCCAACTCAGTTGGATTGGATGAATGAGAAGAGGGGAAAGTGCAACTTGGGAGTTGCAAATTCATGAATATTCTTTTAGCATTTAGTGTTCAAAGGAATCCATTTATTTGCCCAATTCGGGGTCAGGAAAATGAAAGAGAAATTAAATATTTTCCTACAATCTTGTCTCGCAGGAGATGATGACTATAATGCA